TATTGATTTCTGTAAGATCATTTTGCAAAGGGGATTCAGGTGCAGGCGTTTCCCTTTCTGCTCGTACGTGGTGGGTCAATACAAGCTGGTCAAAGTCTTTCCTTTTCACTGGTGCTATGGGGCTGGCCTGGAGCGAGCGGGCAGGGCACCGAGGGATGTCCTTCCGTTGGCAGAACGGCCCGCCTGCTGTGTGAGTTTCTGTTCTGGCTGGAGAAGTCCCTGACACTCAGCTTTGTTTTAAAAATGATTTAAATAGTATTTTTGTGTATCGGTGCTTGCTGGGAAAAGTGTGCTAGCAACACAGGAGCCCACCGGTGCTATCTCACACAGCGTGCTACAGCGACCCAGGTACAGGAACATGTGGGGAGATGAAGAAAACTACTATGGGAAACACGGTAATTTACCTGCTTTCTTATGACAATTTCTAAGCATCCAATCTGAATCTCATTTACTTCAATTGACTTTAATGGGCTTGGATCCAGCCCCGAATGGTTTTCTACAACTTTTTCAATTATTAGCAATATCCTAATTCTTTTCCAGCATGACATTTGCATAAACTGCAAATCAAATGTAAACTTCATATAGATATTGTCAATTTTTATTTTAGATAAGTAATTTAGATTTGTTTTTTAAAAAATCATTGCAGTAATAAAGTGCAACAATTAAATTCATTTGCTGTTTGGAGCCAGAATTGGTAAATGAAATATCTTGTGAAGTATTTCCTGTCATGGTATTACAACTTAATGTTCAAAAGTTTCCTATTATAAAACAGCCTGTGAAATAGATCTGTATCATCTGCAAAGAGAGAGTATCATCTCAGCTTTTAATCCTAGCAAAAAGATGACTGTCGTTATCCCACACCACTGGTTTCTTCCTAACGCCTACCAAACTCCTAAGGCTTGGAACTTGCTTTCTAAATACATTTGGGCTTTATAGCTGAGGAATTAGTTTACTTTTACCAGGAGCTATGTAAATACTAATAACATAAATAATTCTCACCTCACCCCTGAAGAATCTTCTCCGTTTTTAAAGAATGGTAATAATGAAGTAGGGAATTTGATACCTAATTTGGAAAAATAAGAATGAAACAAACAGCATTTTTCTTTTTTCTGTTGTTCCGTGAAACTACGATCACATATGTTTCGGTAAGGAATGTTCCAGTGACACTACAGACTACTTCTGGCTAAAAGTCTATTGTATGCACCCCAGGATGCCGTTGGCCTTCTTGGCCACAAGGGCACATTGCTGGCTCATGGTTATCCTGTTGTCCAACTGGGACTCCCAAGTCTATTTACGTTTTAGGTCTTTACGTTATAAAGCTATTCTGCTTAATGGTAACCTTCTGGAAGCTGGGGAGATGGCTCCATCAACAAGCTTTCTCCGTACAACACAGACTGACTACAGAAACTTCTGTTAGCAAAAAGTCTATTGTATATTTGAAAATCTGCCCTGTTGCCCTACCAAGGACATCAGAAATCACTGCTTTCTATCTGGAAAGTAAACAATGCATAGCATGTGAGAAAAGATAAAAATGAGCAAGCACATTAAAAGGCATTTGGGTGTGCTGGGTCTTAGGTTGCTGTAACCTGATGGTAACAGCAATGTGGGGCTGGATGGACTTAAGGAGATCCATTTGGCTCTCTCTGTGCTAAGACATGGGACATTGACTATGCTCTTCCCAACAGGTATTTGTCTTTAAATGGATTCATACTTAAAAGCTTAGGGTGAGAAAAATTTAGAAGTCCACTTGGAAAACCAGTTCCACTCTGTAGCCGCACATATGTTCTGAAAGGTTTCCTAATGATGATCGAAACCATCTTTGCTGTAAATGAAGTTAGCTTCTCTCTCTGGCAGAGGAAGCTGAGAACAGGTGATCACTGTCCATTTTATATGGTATTTGGAGACTTGATTTGTGCTTCTTCCCTTAATCACAGTCATTGAAGTTTGCGTTCATTTACTGCTCTTTGTGAACCTCTTAGTATCTTTCAGTTTCTCCAATTTGTATTTACCTTCTGAAATTTTTAGCTGGGGCCTTATGTGTCACAAGTGCCAGGAACAGTGACCTCACCAGTCACGCTCACACTTTTTGAATAAGTTGTGCTTTTTTTCGCAAAGGCATTGCTTTACTGACTCATCCTCTGTTTGTGCCCTGCTGTAGTCCTTTATGCTTCTTGGCAGCGTTGCTGAAAGCGGTTATTCTGTACGGACTTGTGAATGGAGTTTGTCTTTATAACTTCCATCAGTGCATGAAAGTCTCTTTGAGTTGTTAAATTGTTTATCAAAATCCCTTCAATTCTGTTTCCAGAAGTATTTGAACACCTGTCACCGTCACAGTTTCAAAGTGCTCTTTCCAGTCGTGGGATGGAGCTAACTACTAACATCCAAGAGTGAGAAATTGGGGTCTTTGTGGGTGACTCAGTGAAAGTGTTTGTCCCCAAAAGCAAGCAGACCGTCAGAAAGAATTATTAGGAATGGACTGAGATCTAGTAGAAAAAGTCATTGTATAATTGTATAAATCACAGCCAGTATCTGTGGTGAATATCCTGTGCAGTTCTGGCCCTTTCTTTTCCAGTGATAGGTAGTAGCACTGAAAAAGATGCAGAAAAGGAATATAAGCATGACCAAAAGTATGTAATGGCTTATGTACGAGAAACAATTGAACAGACTAGAACTCTTGAAGACAGACAAGTAAAGAGGAATATAATAACATGGAAAATTATCAGTAGCATGCCATGTTGCCATGCAGCTATGAGCTGACTGATGGCAAGCTTAAAACAGACAAAAGGAGGTTGTACTTCAGTGTTTCATTAACCTGAAGTACTCTGTGATGTAGGGTACTGCAGATGGTTAAATAGGGTTTTAACTGCAAGTTAAATAGGGATTTATGAAATGAATGAGAAAACAATTCACCCACAACTATTAAATACGACGTCACTAGCTTTGGTTCAGAAAAGTGCAGTTGCAAATCTCTCTTTTAGGGAAATACGACTGTGTTTGCCTGGATCTTGCATTTCTCCTCAGCCATTCATTGGCCCCTTGTTAGATACAGGGTATGGGTTCATTGGACCTTTTTTTGTGATCTGTCATGGCTGTTCATGCATGCTAAGTATGAGCGATGGACAGAGGCTCACTTCAGTGTGCCTTAGGCCAGAGCTCCTCAGTGGCCAGCAAAGGTACAGAGTCTGCATTGTCCTGGAGAGAAATTCCTTTGTAGAAATACTTATTTTTTAGAAATTGCTGTACATAAAGGTTCTTCAAAATACAGGTTGTGGCCCAGCATTAGGTATAGTGTATGGTGCCCTTGCTTTCTGGAGGGCAGTGAGTTCCCATAGTACCTGTGTAACAGCATAACCCACATCTCCCACTCCCCGGCATTGCTGTCACGTATCACTCCTGCAGAGTTTTACCTTTCCCTATCTCTTCTGTGTTAAAATATATTTGCTTTAGGAGCATGGTAAGGTGGACCCAAACACCTCAGATGAAGGGCAAATAGAATTTTGTTACCTGCTATGTTTATTGTACTGGTCTGTATGTATTTTGATAAGGTTTTTCTGATGTAGACCAAGAACAAAGTTAATAAGTAAATTCTGCTTTTGAGAAGTTGCTGAATTCTTCTCGAATTCATTTGTCTGCATCCTATCTCTAATTGAAGAAAATAAGTATTTTTTTCTATGGGTAAGGAAAGCTTGGTCTGGCAACACCCTTTAATACCAGGTACATTCTCAAGAGGAGATCCTTAAGAAAGCAGTGAGAAGACACTCTGAAACAGTAATTTATATTGTATCATTGACATTTGAATGAAGGAGTAATTTCGTTGCACAAAATTTGGTTCAGTAAATCTCCATAATTACTGAACTTAAAAAAAAAAATCCCATGGAGCTGAATAGCTAGCTTCAAAAGGAAAAATCCAGATCTTGGTCTGTTGAATGAAGCACTGCTTCTTTCTCTTCATACAGTAGCTTGAAACTTGGAAATTTAAATTCTGCCGTAAATTTCTGTTAGTTTTTCCCAAGTGAAATCATACTCATTGAAATCCACATTTGAGCCACAGATCGGTGGGTTAGTATTTGGCAGTTTCTTAATATAGTTTGCTTTTGTGTGGTGTGAATCAGTCGGAACTATGCTAAGCAGGATAGTCACAATGCATCACGTTTGACAACAACTGTCTGTAAGCTCTGGCCAGATGTTACTGCCTGTTTCTAGGGGGGAACCTGGCTTGACCTTCTTGTGGTTCTGAGATTCGTGTAGAGCAATGGCCGTGTTCAGGGATGTGTCCATAACCAACGTTAACTAACCCTGCTCTGCCTCCCGCACTGGGATGTGGTGGGTGCTGGGGAGCTAGAGGTGTGTGGAACACGTGCTCTCCTGCCTGCTCGTGGCCGTGCCTTGTCTCTCCGCTCCGGAGAGGCCGGTGCAGGTACCCGGCCCCTGCGGGTGCTGTAGAGCAAGGTCAGCACCCACCTTCTGCCATCTCTGGCTGTGCTCTGTCATCGGACAAACCCGGTGCAAAAAGGGAAAACCTGCAACTCTATGTCTGTAAAGTCCTGTAACCAAAGGGGTGGGGATTCTGTAAGTATAACAAGTGCAGGCCTGACTCCAAGCTGTTCTTTTAGAGAAAAATCAGAAGGACTTAGTATGCAGGTTCCCTCACTTGCTGCCAAACACTCTCAGAGTGGGACTGTGAGACATAATCATTGTCAAGTGTGAATGAGCATTCTGCATAGGTGTATGCTAGGATGTACATTAAAGGTAATTTATTGTGTGGTAAATGTGAGGCCCTCAAAGTATTTAAGCTGGAAGAAAAAAGCTTTGATCTCATCTACAAAAACTAGGTAATTGTGTCAGTGAATTACTTATGTTGCCTGCATGAAATGATTTTAACAGGACTGATTAAATAGGAATACATGGAAGATGTTCTTCAGACTGCTGTTAACACCCCCTCTCTATAGATTTTATTTTGAATAAGGACATGTTTTTATGCTGTTTTATTTTAAATGCAGGTGAACCAAGGAAATTTGACCCAAAGTTCAGAGGACCTATTCATAACAGGTAAATACCTTAACTCATTCTATTTAATAATTTTGGTTTTGCAGTGAACTGGAGATAAAAATTTTTATTAACAAAAATTGTGAATTTGATTCTGCAATTCTTTTAAATCTGGAAGACAGTCCTTACCACCCTTGAGGATGTATGATCGCTGGGGAATTTTCAGCTGTGTGCTCGTAAGTTCTTTCAGTTTGATTGCCAGTGCTGTATGCCTTGTATTGTCTAGTGCCAGCTCTCTTACCTTGTGCTGATGTAGGCAGGACCGTTTGGGGTGTCGTTAAGTCCTGGGGTGCCCTGGCCAGGGGCTGCAGTCTGTCTTGTTCCCACGCAGCGCGGGACGGGAGCCCGTGGACACACCGTTCCTCACTTTGCAGCTGGCTTTACTGCTCCTGTAGTCCCCTCGTGCAGGGGTTTATTTCATTCTCTCCAGAGCACGGCTCCGTGTGTGCACGGCTCCACGCACGCCGTGGCTGCCCGGTGGGGTCCGTCCCTGCGGAGAAGGGGCCGTGTCTGACAGTGACAGCGGCAGAGCCCTGTCAGAGAGGTGGCCGGTGCCAGAGCGGCTCAGCCCCGAGACCCTCACTCCAGGGAACGGCTTTTGCCCGTGTGAAGAGTGTCTCTGGAGAGAGTGGGGCTGCCTGTGGCACTGCAGGGCTGGATCCTAAACCACTGCAGTTTAATGGTGTTTAGAGCAATCTGTTACCCTGCCTCTCGCTCGGGTGCACGAGGAGTGGCGAAACGGCTCTGCCTGCAGGACTTCTCTGTTTACTGTTGCTGCGTGGTACAGTTGGTGTGGTTTTGCCCGGTGGTTGCTGTGACAGCTCCTGCAGTTTATCCACGTGCTGTTCTCACTGCACGTTCCACAGCAGCCTCTTAAAACCACAGCTGGCTGAATACAGCGCAACACAGCTGTGCCACGTGTGTGCAGTGCGTTTCACCCTGCTTCAGCGAGATGGTATTGTTGGAAACAGTATAAAAAAGATAAGTTCCCTAAGCGTTAAGGGTCTGGGTTCGTTGTGCAGCAGACCCTAAGGCGGCGCTGGCTGCATTGGTGTTCATGGAGCACTTTGCAAAGGGGCGCGCTTGGGTTTAGATTCAACCAGCCTTTTCTGCAAGGCACCCGCTGACTTCCCGGCCCCTTTGGGGTCATCAGCACCCAGCAGTACCCTACGGACATGCCCTTGAAGTAGTTTAAGATTACTATTAAGTTTTTTTAAAGACAACGAATGAACTGGATTTTTTTAATTCCTTTTTCCAAGTACTAAGATAAATGATTAAGAATCACAGTCTTTCAAGCAAATAAAGAGTGTCTAGTTCCTGTGAACAAAATGCCTTCTCAGAGATATTCCAAAGAGTTCAACAGGAGGAAAATAGGCATCTTCCCTGAATTTGTTTCTGACTTTGGGGCTTCCCACTTTTCTGTAGGAGAAGGGATACTAGGAATCTGAACACATACATCTTTGTGCAGACAAAGGAGTGCTTGCAGTGCACGTGTGGGTGGGGGCAGAGCTGGTTGTACGCCTTGCCGTAACAGGCATAATTTGTGCACAGTGCGGGTGGGGAAACACTCTCTTTGCTTTCTGCTGATAAAATAACTTGTCCTGCTCATAATTTTATTGTCAGTTTTCATTGATCGGGAAAAGTTTGGCTTCATTTTTTGGAAAATAGAGAGGTTTCTCGGGAGATAGGCTGCAAATTGTATGTATCTGCATTGAGCTGGAAAAGGTCACATCCCATCCTGGTGACTGCTGAAGCTGATGCATTTTTGGAAGTGCTGTAGAGCAGAAATGATGTTTTGAAGTTGTTGAGCACCAAGCTATTCCCCAAATCACTAAAAGCTTGAAAAACTGAGAAACAGAAAGCCAAGTCTTAATAATGGTGTATTAATGTCTATTAAAAGAACGGATTATTCTCACAGTTTTTGTCAGATGGATCCTTTGCAAGTAGATTCAGTTATCTCAGCTGTTTTTTTCAAATAGAACCGTTGCCAGTGTTGGACAAGGGTGGGTAAAAGGAGTGTTCAGCAGGGCAATGTGTACAGTGCTCTGCAAGTACCGTCCTTCTCAAGGGGGCTGTGTGTAGAGTTTGATATATTTCATGCAAACGTCTCTTCGCTGAAGAGGACTGAGCTGCGGTGGCTGTTGATTGACTCCGAGGCAACCAGCTCCTGAAAATCCAGAACGATGCTATCAACATTATGTCTTTTATTGACATGACTACATTGTCAGGGTTTTTCCAGATGTAAGTGTAACACAGAGAATGTGTTCTAAACTAGCATTTACTATCCTTTGTGAGAAGAATAATAAATTAGAGAACCACAAGTTATTTATAAATTTTATCTTTCTCAGCAGAAAATTTGTAACAGAGAAGAACACCACAGCCTTCTGGTACTCAAACACGCAGATTGTTCTCATCTATGGAAGATGTATTTCTTCTTTTCCTTTCTGAAAGCTAATAATTTTAGACATAAATGGAAATGTTCATTTAGGGAGTTGATCCTAATTTGAGAAGTATCTTTGTGATACTGCCCGTGAGACTTTGTATGCACTGTGTATAGGAATGAATTTAAGTGATAGTTTAAGGATGTTATTAAGTGTTCATCTGTGTACATTACTACCAGAAAATACTTGTAAGGTTTTATATATTGTATCTACCAAGAGAGTAAACTTTGGGGCTGAAGCAGTAGCTCTGCAACATCTCAGCTCAAGATGATGTAGCAGGTGTTTTTGTAGAGGAAAAGAGAAACTCCTGGTGTACCCTGGGAGCTAAGCTGGAGATGTCTACCTTCCTCACACCAGTGGTGATGAGCAGTTTATCTGAGTTCATACCAGCCAAAATCTAACACGTCATATTTTCAGTCTAAGCTATCTCTGATTCCTCAAAGGCAGAAATGTCCTACAACCCATCTTACCCTGCTGCCAGAAGTTCACCCCTGGGAGTGGAGTAAGTCAGGCACCCCTCAGTTTCCCAATGTACCAACACTTGTTTGGTATCACAGCCCTGAAGCTGTCTGTCTGTCTCTCCCATTGGTGCTGAAATGGTCTCTTGCTGGGCTTCAGGCAGGTTTGTCACGCAAGAGGGCAGCTGTGTTGAGGGGTCTCGATATTTTACGCCAATGCCAGATGAAGGAAGGATGTTGTGGGGAAGGCTTGTGAAGTTAAAGGTTCATAAGGAATTTAGATAGAATGTGTTATGCTTCTTTAAGAATAAAAAAAGCATTTCCTCCACCAACTTCATCATAAGGTATCTGTGGATAAATCAGTCAGGTGCCTTCATTCAGGTGGGGAAAACAAGATTCTCCTTTTTCTTAATGTAGTTATATGACTTCGGGTATAAAATGAACTGTCTTCCTCCATTTAGGTTTTCTCTAAGTTCCAGAAAGGGAAGGTATCCAATCAGTACCATCATAGCATATTTTCCTAAACTGCTTTGGCAAAATCAAATTATTAAATCACACTTCTGACTTTTTTCCAATTTTGTGGAATTTGTCTTGACTTTTTCCCTTGCCCCTTGTCATTTTTCTGCCTCCTCTATGTAGTTTTTTGGATTTTTCTCATATTTCTCTTGCTGATGAGAAACATTGTAGATTTTTTTTCTTGTGTTAGAAAGATTGTAGATTTTTTTTTCTTGTTATGTTTTAAAAACTCCTGACACCTCCTAGACTATCTTTAACTGTTCAACGTCCTTCTAGAAATTCGTGTTCTTGTTAAGACAAAGATTGCCTTTTCCTCTGTGATTAGAAAATTTAGTTAATGGGTTCTCATGCAAATTGAGTATCAGTAAATTTCCATAACCATTTAGTTATCCTTTTTAAGAGTTTGAAAAAACCTAATAGAAATACCTGACCTTAGCTAGCAATACAAACTTCACACAAATAGAAATGTGTCACTCATAGATATCTGCATGGCAGATCATATTGCACTTGATACTGAAATAATGAATGTTCTTTCTAAATTAAATAGCCTGCTATAGATGTTACTTAGACTACACTAAGAGTCTACCGTAGATAAATGTTGGTAGAATATAAAATTATTTTTCTTGCTAATGGTTGTTTTGTTGGTCCATCTATGTTTTGTTACATGTTGTTGTCTGTATTATTTTCATGTGCCGTGCACTTGCTGAGTGGGGAAGCCTACATTTTCCTTTGAGTTCTTGTTTCGTGCTTCTGGTTTGGGGCACACAGTGCCTACAGATGTTGCTCATGTGCAGACATCGAAGTTTGAGTTTCCCAAACTAAACAATCCGTGCAGGTCAGTGCAGAGCAGCTGTACTCATTAAGAAATTTTAGTTGATTCAATTTAAGCTGATGGAAAACAGCTAGTGGTGAAAACTTGTATAAATATCTTTTTCTGTGCAGTTCTGGCCTCCACATTAGAAGCGGCAATTCATGGGGGATTTTGAAAGAAACTTTTTCTACAAACATTTAGTTTATGGGCTCCCTGCAGATTTATTCAGCTGTGCAGGATGATGTCCTCAGTTCCACGTGCTGATAGAAATACCCACTTGGACAGCAGATCTTGTCTCTCAGTTCAGCCCCAGTGAAGAAAGGGGTCCTCAGAGCTATTTGCGGCGTTGTATGGCATATATATTGTATGGCATATATATTGTATAACATCACCCTGGCACAGCATGATGTGGGGAAATCTCAAGACACAAGCTGTTGGTCAAGCAGGGAGGAGGAGCTGGGAAGTGAGGACACTAGTGGTCACCTTAATGTGTCAGCAGAGCTGGAGGTGGTGACCTGAAACTCGCACTGTGGATGTCTCGAGCCTCATTTTTCTCTGTGGTTGCACCGTTTGTAGGTGTTAATGCACTGCTAGCGCTATTTAACTAATAAACGTTGTAGTTTATTGCTGGTGCAGCATCTTCAGTGAAATTGCGCTCGTGACAGATTGGGCGTGAAACTGCCAAACAGAGAGAGGTTCTCGTCAGTCATTAACGATTGAGTGCATGAACTGGTGGTGAATAAATGGCTTTTATGCACTAATACTCTGTGCAGATGATTTTATCCTTGCATTTGTTAGTTTGCTAGGCTGCCGTTGTGTTACATGGGCTGCCACGTGTAACACGGCAGGAGAACCCAAGAAGGCAGGATGTTTCTGAGAGAGGGTGGAAAACAAATCAGGCTCCATAAATTAAGCTAAATGACAGCAGTAAGCAGTAAAATGTGATGTGGGAGCCTGAACTGTGCACTTAACCAAATGAAGGTCCTTTATTACGTCACCTGAAAATGATGAATCTGATGGTTTTATTAGCCATTTATCTCTATGGAAACTCCTGTGTTCAAATGCATAGATGCACTGTGTTTTGGTTCAGATTATGGAATTTGGTTACCTAAAAAGTACTAAAACACATCGAAGTTTCCAATACTATTAGCAAAAGCATTTCTAATGTTTTTTCATCTATACCATAAGAAATGTAAAATGCTTTTTCTCATTAATCTTTGAACATTTACACATAATTATGGTATAAAAGTATGATAGCACTATCTGTAAGAAAGATTAAAGTGCCCATATGACAAGCAGCATTCTCAGTTCCTATTCTCATAATCTTATTTCCATTAATCCATCTTCTTTAGGATTCGGTTTGACAGTTCAGTCTCCTGAGTGGTTTTGTTCATTGGCCTGAAAGAAACTGAAAAAGCAGATTTGCCGTAACAGATCTCCTTCTTATTTTGAAAAAATTTGTATCAAATCTATTTTCAGTTAGAGCATGGCTGGATCATTTCTGATTAGGTTTCAGTAATAAGCATTAGCTCCCAATATCTCCTGTTTATGAAGAGGCACTTACCATTGTCCCAGTTTTACGGCTTTGGAAACTCCCAGAATCTTCACAGTATAACCTTTTATCTTTACAGACTTACTCTGATTTATTAATTTCTGATGCTTTACAATTTTTTTCCTCTCCTGTGGAGCCTTGTATTTATGAGGTAATATGATCTCACTGAAAGTGAGCTACTTGAGCTAACAATGATGTTAAATGGAGCCAGGGTTTCACCCGTAGTATCCAGTAAAATAAGCAATTATTTTGTAGGAACAACAATTAGTCTATATGAACTGTTTCAAAATTTTCTGAAGCCATGTAAAAGAGGATTTATCTACTTCTTATATTTTTTAAAAATATTTATATAACAGCAGTACTTGGTAACAGCGAGTTTTCCTAGGTACTGTGCAGAAGTTTGTGTATTGCAAGGAACAGAAAATCCTACATTCTGGTAAAGAGTTTGTGAGTACTTGCTCGTGGTGGCTCTGCAAAACTTTAAAAGGAAGCTTTAGCTCAACTGGCTGTAACCTTTAATTGCATTTGGGTATCATAAAATGAGACCAGTGAGAATTGGACTGGAAGAGTTTTTTGAGACTATAGGAGCTGTAATTAAAGTATTTATGGTGCCACATTTCTCCTGAGACATCTTGAATTAAATACTGTACCTCTTAAAACTGGCTCTGATGGGGTGAGAGCCAAGCTTGAGCAGTGTCAGAACTGCTTCCAAACAGAGGCTGGGAAAATGAGCAGCATTATTTCAGCATCACTTCTGCTTTAAGCAGTTGTCCTTTCTTAAATTACTGTCATATTCACCTTGAATCCTGTACCACCTTGGCCTCACTAAAAATTGATTTCAGTGAGATGTTAAAACCGTGTCCCTCTAGAGAAGTGTAGAGGATTTTTCATTCCTTTTCCACACCTGGAAAAACTTTTCAAGTTCTCCAATTGTTCAAAGGGTCTGCCCTCTTTATCTCCTTTATGCTAAAGAATAATGGTTCTCTCTTAAGAGGAAACATAGTTTGGAAAACAGAAAGGATGGTAGATGCCAAAAATGACTGTGTGTCAGTTGGATTTGGATTCTAAGATTTCTTTTACTGGTGAGATGCAGCTTGCATGCACTTGGCTCCTTGTGTGGCTGGGCAAGCAGAGGTGGCCATAGCTCGCTTCATGAAGGTCCTTTACTTTATTGGGAAGCCAGTGTTGGCTTTCCTGGGGTGGTGGTTGCTCACTCCAGTGTCACAGAAATGTGGCAGAGGATGGGGTCGGGTCAGAACAGCAGCAGTTTGGTCCTTTGGTCCTTCAGCCGGGACAGCCCAGTGCATCTCTGGATGCTCTGCCACAGGAACCCTCCCAGATGGGACCATCACCTTCATACAGCCCCTTCTTCTCCAAAACTCTGCCAGGCAGGGCATGGCAAAGGATAGCAGCAACTGAAATCCCTCAGATAAGAAGGGATAATTAGAGTAGTGGTCTGCATCTCCACTCCTCTGCCTGCACAAACATAATGTGTAGACTAGTAAGTAGAAGACAATAATTTAATTGCATATTCCATTTCCTCACTGGCTCAGTTTTCACACTGGAGGGTGCTGTTCTTTGATTGCTTGTCTGTAAAAGAAGGTATGGCTCTCTACAATATGTTGGGATTTTTTTTCCTCTCCCTAAAGCATATTCTGGTTGCATTAAATGAAGTCAAGCAGCTGAGCCAGAATTTTGTGCAGAAATCAGGGGTAGTTGCATCATTTCACACTGCTACTCTTCCATTCATAAGCTATTTATAATACAAGTAAGTTGTGCTGGATCTTTCTTTCTCACATCATTTGCAATATTTGATACCAGCATTAGGGACACGCTGAGGCAGATGTCCTCTGGTAGCTTGTACCATAAGTGATCTCATGTATTCAATGTTGTAAGGTATTACTTGTTTTAAGAATATTTAAGTCTTTTCCTCAATGTGTTTTCATTGCTGTCTGCAAGGCAAAAGGCAGACACATTTATTTGCTGGTCTTGCTGTGAAAGCAAGCAAGGTGATTTTGTGAGCAAGGCTGCTACTAAGAGCAGATGCAGACATCTTATTCTGATGTTAAAATACCCTGTGACACTCAGCATTTTCAAAGGGTCATATTAGAGACCTTATTTTTAAAAAGTGTTTTTTCTGTCCCCAGGCACTGTACAGACACTGTTTGCTGTGTGATCTTCATAGTCGTCATTCTGGGTTACATTGCGTTAGGAGTTGTGGGTAAGTAAGTGCAGGTATAGTAGTGCTTTCATACCCAGGGAGCCAACTTTGTGAATGTTAGAATTTTTAACTGGGATGTCCCTTTTGCTTTTATCTATGTCAGGTTTTCCAATAAGTAAGTAATGCCTTGCCTAGAAGCAAATAATGAATTAACATTCAGTGTCTGTTGTAGTTAGGAAGGTGTTCAAAGCCATGTGTTTACTGATGAAAAACTCAAAAATAAGTATGTTCAAGTAGAAATGACACAGTCTTATAATTTTGCCATCATAAAGGAACTGTGGTGGAAAAATTCACTTTCATTTGTCACTAATCTGACCGGAAAAGTTAGAGATAAATATTTTGGTTTTAAGAGAGTTTTTGTTCTGTAAAATATTACTGAAGGAACTTATGTGAGCACTAAAAAGGAGAAGTAAGAAATGCTACATCATTTATTGTGGGATCCGGAGTTGTTTGCACATCAAAATACTCATTAGTAATAGCCTTTTTTTCGTGTGTGTGTGAGAAAATGGTATGAATGCCTGTGCGCAAATGGACAAATGGTGCTGTAGGAGTGTACTTACTGTGTATTTGCATGTCTGTCTGAGCTCTGTCAATTGGCTTGTAAAAGATCCTCTTGGCCCTGCTGTTCGTTTTCTTCCTAACTCTGTAATAACATTTTCTGTTCTGTACAAAGAAGAGGACACGTTCCTGTGCAACATGCTCTGGGTGGACCTGCTTTGGTAGGGGGATTGGACTATAGATGATCTCCAGAGGTCCCTTCCAAGCCCATATCATTCTGTGTGATTCTGTGATCTCCATCCTTGGGGATATTCAGAAGCTGCCTGGAGGTGGTGGTCCTGGAAAGCGTGTTGTAGGTGACCCTGTCTGAGCAGGGGTTTTGAGCAAGGTGACCTCTGGAGGTCCCTTCCAACCCCAGCCGTTCTGTGACAAGCTACTGTCTGCGACATGAAAGGATGACTGTGAGCAGGACTGCTTTAACCTGGGTGATTCCGATAACTGTCTGAGAGAATACTCTGTCCTCCCACTAAATTGTATGAGAGCAAAACATCCCCCAAGCCGCAGTGCTGAGCTGCTTCCTCTCACCTGCCTGAGGCAGCTCAGCACTGAGCACGTTCTGAAAAGTCTGTTGTCTTTCTCAAGTGCTGGGAATTCTCTGTGTATATTTTTTTTCTTTCCCTTATTCACCTGTACTTACTGCCCCGTCACGAGCCTTTATGTCTTCACGAAGATGGAGAAGTGAGGAAGCAAGTGGTATATGCCAGCAAGTGGGAGAGGCATGAGGCCCTTCGCAAGGAGGCGCAAAGCCTGCACTAGGAAGCAAACACCAGAGTAACAGATGGCTGATGATGCTTGCAGGTTGAAGAAATTATTTCTTTTCGAAACTTTTTTTTTTCCTGTCTAATCTCTTTGAGCCTCTATTTCCCAAAAATGAAGGGTAACTTGAGATCTATGAATGTAAGAAAAGTGAGCAGAGCAAAAGGTGAATTCAGAAGCTGTTCAAGCTAGACTTGATTTTATGCCACGCTTCTAGAGATTACAGCGGCCATGGGATTCTCACTGGGATTGGATAGGGGAGAGGGTCCCTGACTGTACTCCATGGCATGATCGTACAGTCAGCTTCAGACTGACTTGAAATGCAATCTTTTGACAATTTTTTTACAAGATCAGTGTCTGTGATTGTGATGCTTAAGTTAACATCAGTGGCATCTGTGTGGAGACAAGTCCAGGATCTCTTTGTTTTGCAGCCACTACTGGATTCTCTGTGTGCAAAGTTGTGTGTGTCCTCTCTTGTCACAGTTCTGGCTGCTGGTGGGATCCTGCTGAGAGTGGGATCCTTTGCTCTGGAGTGAAGCATCTTCTTGCCCTCATGGCTGAACTGAATTGTTCCCACTTTGCTTAATTCCTAACCAACACCAAAGTCAATTTGACTTGTGAAACTATTTAGAGCAGAAGTAGTCACTCGACTGCCAGTTATAGGAGATTGGAGAGGCAGTTACCAGAATACACGTGCGATATGTGTTTCTGCTTACTAAGCGTGCTCTGGAACAGACTGGAGAAAAGGAGGTAAATGATTAGTCCTAAGAAGGAACAGTAGCTGCTGGGCTGTGCACAGCTCTTGCAGAGCTGCCGTGCCTCCCTCTTGATGCTGTGAGTTTGCCATGTCCGAAGGACATCCCTCTCCTGTCAGTGCTTCCCTGATTGACTGGTTCTTCATAGATGTTCTGCTCTCTCCATCTGTCACTGCTCAAATACAAAGCCAGAGCTGAAGAAGCTGGACTCAGAGCAGAGGAACGTTTGTTGTTTTCTTGAGCGTACAAATGCCCCTGGTGAGTGGAGAGGGCCCCTGTGCCGACGGGCAGCGCTCTGAGGTGCTGCTGCCTGGACAAGGGGACAGGGGAGCACTGGCAGTTTCTAGCTGTATGGAACTCTTGTGCTGCCAGATGTTGGCTCTCCTCACTATATAAATCTCCTTAATTTTTTGGCTAGAACTTTGTCAGCTTTTTATGTGCAGATTCCAAAGGACTCCACGTGCTAGATGTTGCAAAAGTAGAGAGTGTTAGAAGAGGACTGGCTAGTTCCTCGCTTCTTCATGTCTGTGATCTCAGACAATGCAGTTACTGTGATGTGAGACAGTGAATTAGTCATATTCCCTGCTCTGCACACGCAGTGTTTTCCTACTGGACACTGCAAACCTCTTGAAAAATTGGTTAGAAGTAGAACCTGTTTCTGGAACCAGATGCCAAATCTGTAGCCAGTGACTTTTTCTACCTTTCTTGCAGAGAAGATTTTAATTTTCAGTCTGGAAACATTCAGCTCTAAATCCAGATCCATGTGGTCCCTGCTTTTCATCTTGCCTCGCACTGTGCTTCAGCTATTCTTTTTACTCAGTTTGCTTAGTTTGTTTCTAAGTAAAAGATGAGATCAGCTTTGGTGCAGTTCCAGGGGCCAGCCTTCTATAAAATACATGAGAGCCAAAGAAGTTCACATTGAGAGAAAACAGATCATAAATCACAGAATTGTAGAACGGTTAGGGATGGAAGGAACCTTAAAGGTCATCAAGTTCCACCCCCCCTCAGTCCTTAGTCATGAATTATGCCTTATGGCTTATTGGGGGGGGGGGGGGGGGGTAG